GACGCAATCAGTCGGCGCGAAATAGCAGCGCCGATGCTATGGGAGGTAATGCAGGTGGTGAATGCTATGCTGAGGCGTGACAATATACAAGGTGCCCGTGAACCAGGAGGGATTCCGAGTCCGGGGCGGCGTGAATCGTGAATGAACGGGTGCGGAAATCGTATGCATTGGCGAACCCGAGTTGCATCAAGGAAAGCGGAATCGTGAGGACTTATGCCTTTTTGTTGTGCGCCGCGGCGTACGCTTCTCGGAACGAAGGGTGCAGGATCTGCTCGTGAAGAGCCTTGCCAGCAGGAACCTAGAGGCAGGCGGACTCGGTCAACAACATCGTCATATAATCGGCACTTGATCGGACAGGTACTTACCATCGGGAAGACGTGCTCATTGGTCTCGACCACGCACTCCATGAGGACCGGTTTGGAGTCATCATACTCGAGGAACTCCTTCATCTTCGCGGGTAGGTCCTCAGCACGCTCACAGCGGATAGCGTGGACGCGCATAGCCTTGGCAAGTGCGATGAAATCAGGGTTGACCATGCGCGTGTGTGCGTATCGCGCGTCGTAGAACAGATCTGTGCCATTCGTCAGTTATCACGGTCTCCGCTTGTGTACTAAACAATGATGACGAACCTTGCCACTGAAGGACCATACCCTGGAACTCGTTATTGAGCACCATAACTTTGACGCCGATGCCATATTGCGAGGCCGTCTGCAATTCCATAGCCGTCATGCTGAACGACGCGTCGCCGTCGATGTCGACAACGGTCTTATTGGGAGCGCCAACCTTCGCGCCAATGGCTGAGGGAAGACCGAAGCCCATGGTCTGTAACCGACATCAGCAAAGGATGCAGCAAGGGTGACAGGCAAATATACTCACTCCTAGACCACCCGACGTGACCATGGAGCGGGGACGCCGCCAACGGAAGTGCTGTGCCGCCCACATCTGGTGCTGACCGACACCGGTAGTGATAATGACGTCCTCCTTCCGATGCGCGGTCTGCTTGTCGAGCTCCTCGATAACTTCCTGCGGCTTCATAGGTGCGCCAGGCTTGCTCTTCTCGTACGTGAACGGGAACTTCGCCTTCCATTGCCGGATGTCATCGAACCACTCCTTACGGGGCGAGGGGCGGATCAGAGGCGCCAGCGCTGCCATGTTCGCAACGACGTCGCCGAGGATGGGAATCGACGCGTCAACTACCTTGTTGATGTTCTTCGGCTGAATTTCAAAGTGGATGATTCCACCACGACCTCGGAGCGCCGCCGCCCGCGCGGCCGGGGCAAACATGTCGACTTTGCCCGTGACACGGTCGTCGAAGCGAGCGCCAAGAGCGATGATTACGTCCGCCTGCTGCATCGCGAGGTTCGCGTATGCGGAACCGTGCATGCCGAGCATGTGCAGGCTCTTCTCGTCCGTCTCGTCGAACGCGCCAAGACCCTGAAGCGTCGTGGTGACGGGGATGTTGCCCTGGTCCGCGATCTGCTTGAGCAGCTTGGGTCCTAGGGGCGAAGAGAGCACGCCATTGCCGGCATAGATGATTGGCCGCTGAGCCTGGTTGATGAGGTCCGCGGCTTGCTGGATGAGGGCGGTGTCAATGGGCTGATCGCTTGGCTGCAGGGGATTCGAGGGAAGGCCTAGGGGAGTTCCTGGAGTAGTGGCCTTGTAGGGGAGAGGAGTCTTCAGGATGCCAGCAGTGATGTCCTTCGGTAGGTCGACGAGGACGGGACCGGGCCGTCCCGACGTAGCAATTTTGAACGCCTCGTTAATGCGGCGAGGAAGCTCCGCGATGTCCTTCACCATCACGTTCCACTTCGTGCAAGCTCTTGAGATGCCGACCACGTCCGCTTCCTGGAATGCGTCGGAACCGATGGCCGAAGTAGCCACCTGGCCGCAGAAGACAACCAAGGGGACACCATCGCTGAGGGCGTCCTGCATGGGCGTAATGACGTTCGTCGCACCGGGTCCCGAGGTGACGAGGACGACACCGGGCTTGCCTGTGACACGTGCGTATCCCTCGGCCATATGACCGGCGCCTTGCTCATGTCTGGGAAGGACGAAATCGAACTGGGGTGAATTGTAGATAGCATCGAAAACGGGGAGGATGGCGCCTCCGGGGTATCCGAAGATATGCTTGACGCCATGGCGGACCATCATCTCGTGAAAAATCTGGCCACCAGACATGCCGACAAATGAATGGTCAAGAGGGCCTTCCGCGTGAGGACCGAGGGTCGGAGGTGGGTAGGGAACGTTATTCTTCGTAGGCAGCTGCTGGTATCCCGGCGCTGGTGATGGCCGTCTGACATGCTTTCTGTCAGCACACGTAGTGATGCCAACGCGTATAGAGACACCTACACAGAAGAAGAGGGGGTGGCCTCGCGAGGTGAGGACCGGCTTAGATTCCTTGCATGCTCCCTTACTCTCGACTTGGCCTCAAGCATGGATGGGCTCGCGCTTGCTACCGTCGAGCGAGCACGGACAAATTGCGCAGGGACGGACACCTTGGATGCGGCGGGTACGCGCATTGTTCTTGACGCTGAGATAGACATCTTGACGACGGCGGCGACCGCGACGGCGACAAGGAGAGGAGAGAACACTGGCAGAGGAGTCAAGTAAAACTGGGAGCGAGACCGAGTCTTTAACTTATAAGCAGCGCTCGAGTCATTGACCTTGAATGCGATCACATGACACGGGGCCCATGATAAATTTAGCCATTTTTCCCACGTCAATAATGCCATAAGTCCCTGTCCCGTGGGTGGCCAAAGCTGAGCTCGCGCGTACAATTGCTAGTATGCCAGGACATAATGCTGCTTTCAGAATGTCGATTATTCAAAAGCGGCGCTCCCGGTGCGCTCTCGGAGCAGACTTCGCCGGTGCTAACATTTCATGGAACCGCACCCTCGTGCGAAGTCCTGTTGGCTCAGCGGAGATAGTTCAATGGAATTTGCCACGTATGAACAGAGACGGAAGTGAAGCTTCGGGTCGTATCTCACCATGCTGTCTGCAGATCTTGAATCCGGGCTTCAATGCGCGCCTTGTACGGTGCTATGTATAGGCCCAGATGCCGATTTGCTACCTCATGTTAACTCATAGCATGTTCGTGCTGAGTGGGATCAGTCACTACTGTATTGATATCGCTCAAGTCAACGTACGAGAAGCATAAGATCCCTCCGCATCGTACGACGCACGTCTCCGGATGAGTTTGCGAGGGGGACAAGCTATCCTGGTCGATCACTACAAGCTTTGAGCAAGGATACTCTACGTAGATGAATTCCCGATCCAACTGAAGTATGTTATGAGCGTGGGGTGAATTTTCCTCCATGGTCATCGAGCAGAGGAAGAAACATTGCCGTGCTGCTGTACAGTGGTATCGGCACCCTCCAATGCGGCACGACGGTATTGACAGAGCGGATATGAGGCATGACGCAAGGAGGTGGATTGCTTGGCATCTTGGCAAGCTCGCCATGGTCTGTGACAATTCACAGCGCCGAAAGCCTCACAGGAACAACAACAGATAAGGATGCTTGGCATAGTCGCCTCCTCCGAGTCCATGCATGGCAATGGAATTCTCAACGGCAGACACTCGAAGAGCAACTGGAATCTCAAGGATCAGTCTCTTTCGGCGTTGCTTCCACGTCAATTGACAGAGACTCACCCGTGTACGGTGGCTATGATGTGTGCCCATAAATCGCAGACACAGGACAGTGTGTCCGGAAAAGTGCACGCTCACCGCTGTGGCGGGAGCAGCATCCAGGCTGCCTTCTCTGACAAGCGCGCATGCGCCGGGGATGGCTGATCGAGAAAGTGAGCCTTGTTCTCGACTATCTGGGATCGAACGATGACACCACAAGCACTCACAGGAGAGAGCCTGCGAGAGGCAGCCGCGGAAAATCCGTACGGTCCATGGAAAGGCCGCGGAGGGAGTTGCTGTCTCTCGACTCGATTCTGGCCAAGCGTCAGGGTGTGGTCCCGGGTGCTTCCCCTCCTGCGTGCTTGCCGCCGCTTGACGATGAATATGATGATAGCGACGATGCTGATCATAACAGCTGATCGGCCAAAACGAGAGATGAGCCGAGAGCGGTCGTATCATGGAGAGATTCAGCAGTGTCACCTAAAGTTACAGCTACCGCAACGACCCATGGTTCGGTCAAATGGCCCTCGGGGCCGCTTTCTTCATCAGTAGCATTACTCAATCTGGTGGTTATGGTTCAGTGCACGCTTCGTCGAAGCCCTGAGCCACCGAATCCTACTCACTGAGGCTCTGCGCGGATGTGTAGCGCCATCCCCTCTGTTGAGACGAAAAACCCGCATAAAGCGAGCAGAAAGTGCATAGCACAGATCATGGCTCTCCAGCAACGGCAGATTACAAGAGTTTCAGCCGGATGGCGAAGAGGGAGCAACTGAGAAGCGTGTCAGAGAGCGTGCCGCGCGTGCGGTTTAATACTCCTGGGCAGACATTCAAGAGAAGCCGTTGAGCCTTGGCAGAGGTGAGCTTGATGTTCTTGACGATAGGCATGGCGCGCTTTCCCATGTTTGCCAAGGGTCTCGGGCGCGGCGGGAACAGGGCCTTGGCAAGCCAAGCCATCCACGTTCCCGAGCACCCTGCGTGCATCAGGTCCGCCGAGGTGCTTCACGTTCATGCCGACAAGCCGTCCGCTGCAGTTCACGGCTATGTTGCATCATATGGCACCCATATTCGAAATGATTTCTTGGAATGCTTGACGGCTGCAAACCGGCAACTCATGCAAGACTACGCCATTGTGATGGATGCTGTTGCCGTCAGACTCGAGGATGTGCCTAGAGTATTGTCAATGAGCTACGCATTCTAATAGGACCATGTGACTTCGATGCAGCATGAGCGACTCATAAACGTGCAGAGAAAAGGTTCAACAGCTGGTAATAACGTTAGTAGCCAGTACTAGAGCCATCGAGCAACCAGATGAGTTGCCATCGTCGTCACGGTCGTACAACCCACAGAACAGTACTTGCAGCGCTGTCGAAAAATATGGACACACTGGGAATTGAACCCAGCACCCCCCGCAACAGATCCAAAGTCGGATGCTAAGCGGATGTGATAACCAACTACACCATGTGCCCTTAGTAACCAGGCCAGGTAGTATACTACATGGCACTTTTTACAGAGCCTTTTTCCTAAGCCGAGCCCCGCATACTATGCATACTGTCATGAAGTGGGAGGTCGTGGAATCGCGACACCCACTGGACTCAGTAGGAGCCATCAGTGTAAGTCGGCGACTCGGAAGGGCTGGGAAGAGTTGCCACTTCTCGTGTATCAAGGTGCGTATGTCATGAAGGAAGGCGCCGGAGGAAAACAAACTAATATATTCGCGAACCACCTACACTATACTACTGTCAACCTGAATGGGACAGTTCATCGGCCACCCCTCTTCCTGAGGCTCTCTGACTCGGCCGCTTTATCAGTTGAAGGACGCTGTTGTACTCTCCATGTTCGCAGCCGTGCAGAGTCAAGTCCGTGCAATGACCCTGTCTCGTACTCAACTCCTCCGCCGAGGCTTTAGTCAATCAGCTGCAAGGATGTCTGCTGCGTCGTTCGTCCAGCACGGCAAGAAGGTTGGCTCAGAGTGATGTTGTTATACTGCGGAAGAAAAAACCCTACATATACCTTCTGGATAGATCGTCGCCATTGGTCGCAACTACAGCGAGCATGCCAAGGAGCTGAATAACGCAGTTCCGAAGGAGCCTATAATCTTCTTGAAGCCCACGACGAGTTACCTGCCCTCCGGAGGAAACATGGAGATTCCTAAGGGCGTCATCACTCATTACGAAGGTTGAGGTATGAACTATCATACCGCGCTTCCGTCCTCATACCCTCTCACAGTAGAGCTCGGTGTCGTCGTGGGCAAGCGCGGTCGAGACATTCCTGAGTCCGAAGCTGAGGGTTATGTCGCAGGATATGGCGAGTTAACTTCGGAAACAGGATGGTGCATTCACACTTACGATCATCATCGTCCAGCTCTTGCCGTCGACATGACTGCACGCAATGTGCAGGAGGAGTTGAAGTCCAAACGCCTTCCTTGGACCGTCGCGAAGGGTTTCGATACCTTCACTCCCATCAGGTCCGTGATCTCTTCTTCGTAGCATGGCATCTTGCATTTACGATGCTACATCTCAGCTCCTACATTCCGAAGGAGCAAATCGCAAACGCTGCCGACCTCGCACTCACCCTCAAGGTCAACGGTGCAGTCAAGCAGGACGGGAACACAAAGGATATGATCTTCCCCATTTCGCGGCTCATTCACCACATCTCTACCATCATGACTTTGGAGGTGCGCGTGATCATGACCATGTTTCTCCCCCAACTTCTCATCTCGCTTTGCACGTCAGGAAGGAGACTTGATCCTCACTGGGACGCCATCCGGTGTAGGTCCTGTGGTGCCCGGAGACAAGGTTGAATGCACTCTGAAGGACAGCAGCGGGAAGCTGCTAGCCTCCCTCAACTTCAATGCCGTCCAGCGCGAGGGTGGATACCACTACAAGCCGGAGTGAGAATCGTCTAGATGGTCATCGTATACTACGGGTACTAGGGACATTGTGCGAATACGGGCAGCGTTCTAAGCGATACATGCACAGGGAACTATACAATCCGAACGCTCGGGATGCCAAGGGCTACTAGTTATCGCGTGCAGTCCGTTCGTCCTGGTCTCTACTTGCGTCGGACGCTCTCCGGTCTGCGAAGTTGTCCTCAAAGGAGCCGCCACTCGACGCGCTCGCGAAGCTCCAGCTGTCCGCACCTGTAGGCGTAAGGGTACCCTCGGCCTCGAAGGAGCCCGAGCCTGCGCTCTGGAAGTCCCCGAAGTCTCCGAAAGACTCGAAAGAACTGTCTTCGATGAACTCCTCCGAGGCGGCGGACGACGATGCGAAAGTGAACGGGTCCGAACCGCTCGCTGCAGCCGAATCAGAGAAAGGACCGAATGCATCCTTCGAGAGAATCCGTCAACCAATAGTTCGTACGTCAAGGCATCAGGGGCAGCTCACGTCTTCGAAAGGATCTTGAAGAGAAGTGGTATGTGAGGAGTCGGCAGTCGTGAATGAATCCTGGAGGATCGTTCGTTCAGATGGCACGGATCAATATGCAGCTTGTCGTACCTCGAAGCCAGATGGGCTCAAGGGACGTCGCCCATTGTCATGTTGACGGGCAGTGACAGGTGGTGGCCGTAGCTCGAAGGTAGATTGGGCTAACCACCCGCCATCCTCTTCTTCATCCGATGCTTCGTCCGAAGAGCCCAAGTGATCCGAAGACTGGATCTCCTGGACTAGATAGTTTGCGAACTGCGACAACGTCTTCAGTATCCGAAGTGGAATCAACAAATCCCACCGAAACCTACCCGAGGAGGCGCAGAGTGGAACTCGTCGTCTTCCTCATCCATCGGCATGGCGCTGAAGTCGGCACTGCCCTCTCTTGTCCGCGCAGTTCTCCGGAATTCGCCCTTCATCTCCGTCGCTAGCTTCTGCTCCGTGCTATTCGCCGCCGTGGGCGTCATCGCATCGGCCTCATCAACTCTCCATTGCGCAGCGCCCGCATTCCGCATAGATGGTGCGATTACGGGCTTCCCGCCCCCAAGAAGGCTGGTGTCCTTCTTCTTGGTCTCCTTGTATCGTCCCGTGACGTATTCGTCCCACTCCGGCTGCGGTGCGTATTGGGCAATCTGAAGACGGAGGTCAGGAGGGAGGTGCTCGAGAGCGCCAATGACGTCCTCCGATATGAGCGTGAGGTGGCCCATGTATCCGAGCCTGACGCCCTTGGGTTTTGAGCTGGATAGATGGTCCTTAGAAACAGCAGGAAGGCGAACATTGATGAGATGTACCTCTCGATATCGTTCCGTTTTGACCCCTCGATGATACGGTGCATGAGCCTCGCATCGCGGAACAGGGCAATGGTGAGCTCCCTGTTGTACCCGCCATCCACCCGACCAGTCAAGATCTGGTGGATAAGGTCGTACACGACACTATGTAGGAAGTTATTCCACGGAAAGTCGAAGAACAAGTCCTAAGGAGCGAAACGTCAGTTTAGCTCCTCCTATAGACACCTGTTCGACTCACAAGCAATGTTGACGCGACATTAGTCTCCAAGAACCGTTGCTTCAGCCTCTCACCTAGGACTGGAGGCCCAGCGAGCGTCTCCCTCGCCGGTCGTCGTACGCTGCGGCGAGAGCTGGCTGAACGCGGTCTAGGCGTAGGCCCCTCCGCGTCTGAACTCCACACGTTCTGTCGATGTTGAGGAAACGCTGCGTGATCAGACGGCGACGAGGATGGTGAGGCAGCGGCCGCCGAGGGGGAAGCAGCAGGCGAGCTTCCCATCGAAGGCGGGGATTCTGGAGGGGCGGGGCCCGGACTAGCGTCTGGTGCTGGAGAGTCGTACATGGCAATTTCTTCCATAGCGTCGTCATCTGAACTCCCCGGGTCATCGCCGCTCATATCGTCATCCGAATCGGTCAGCGCTGAAGAAGGCGGATGGGACACAGGGAATTCGTGGGCGGATTCCACCTCGTCATCTTCGTCGTCGTCCATACCGTCGTTGTCACCACTTCCATTTCCGATCGCTATCACCTGTGCAAGCTCTTCTAGAGCGGATAGACCGCCTTGTAATCGACCTTCCGCGTCGTATAGGTGGTCGTATTCGGATGGCCGGTTGAGAAGCGACATATTTGAGCAGTGGAGCAGCTCAGCATATAGTTCACATATTCGATAGCGTTCGAACGTCAAGGGAGGTAGAGCGCCAACCGTGGTCAAGACAGGTCCGTTCTAAGTCGGAGGGTCAAACAAGCGAAATCTACGAGCGGTGTTAACTTACGAGAGATCGCGGCCGCTTCAAGAAATGTTGCAACTTGTCCAGGTTATCGCACATAAGCTCCAATACTGGCCCCAGGTGTACCACACCCATGCGGTTCACCATCTCCGTCATAGCCGCCTCTAGCTTTTCCCGCCCGCCTTCGGAATTCATTTGCAACTGCTGCTGCACCTGTATGAGGCGATTCCGCAGCGTGTGGAAGAGGTAAGGTTCGAAGTAGTCCGAGTTGTTTTGACGAATCAACTCGATGATGATGCATATAGACTGGACTACGGAGGAAGCAGCCGATTCTTGCGACAGAGGTCGCAAGGCCGAGTCGGATGCCAGCGCTGCAGCTTCCGCCTGTCCCTCGTTTTGGTTTGGGGGTCCAAAATCGCACAAGATATACTGGACCAGCTTCGTGACGTTGTCCCGATGGGCAAGCTCGCGAGCGAATATGTTCGAGGCGGGCAGGTGATTCAGTCCGTCGGACACACCTGCAGCAGGGGACGGAGCGGCCATCGAGATGATGCCTTTGATGAGTTCTGCAACCACCGTATGCATGTCGCTGCTGTGGACAGGCGAGAGCAGGTCGATGAGGCGGGACATAAGGTTCTCCCTTGACAACCACTGCATACCCCGAGGTAAGAGCGATTCGCGGCAGCGTATACAGCATTCAATGAGGGACATACGTCAAGAACGCCTGCCCCGGCCGGATGCTCATCGAGCTGTATGATGCGGACGAGGAGGTCCGCAAAAGGGGGGCTTTCTATGTGCCGCAAGATGCGCTCCACGATATTCGGTTGCGATTGGATGAAAGCCAGCATCTGAGCGCGAAGCTCAGGATCTATCTCCGCGAGACGAACGAGGACAGATGGAGGGATTCACCTCTGCGGGCTTTTTGTTCAGGAACGCGACGTTGACCTTTGCGAAGTGCGTTGCCATCATGACCTGGCTCTTCATCTCTTCAGGAGACTTGTCCAGGACGGTCTCCCAGAAAGGAACGAGCAGCCGGTCCTGGTGTTTGACGCATGTCTCCACTATTGACCATATTTCGCTGCACAAGACCTCGGTAGCGACATAGGGATACCTGATGCATCATGGAGCCTGAGTATAGATCACCTGAAATAATGTACGAGACTCACTTGAAGCTTCCCTTCTCGTCCCCCTCTATCTGCCCCGTCACGTAACCCAGCAGGCGTTGTAGGACATCGACACGGGAGAAATAGTCGATAAGCCTTGTGTTCTGGGCCTTGCACTCCTGAAGCAAGTCGTCCTCATCGAGAATGGC